TGAAGCAAAATATATTATAGTACCAGGCATAAAAAATCGGTCAGTATGAAATTTTTGACGATAAGAATTTTGGCAGTAATCCCACATCCATGTCATCATACCACGTCTTCAAAAGGATGGGATCCAGTTCTTTTTGGTTCTTCGGCTTCTGTGCCGAAACCTGTTTCTTCATATTCGTCCACTGATTTTCAATGGGTTTTAAATCGGTGCTGTTCACAGGACACGCCTACTGCTATCTTCTTTTTTCTTGCAAGACAAAAGATCAAAAGAGTTATGAATGAGATTGATACCAGGTAGTATGGCTGAAAAAAAATTACTTATATGGCCTTGTGACATGACACAGACTCGTGCTGAAAGAAGACGTAATTTCTCTGTTCATACAGTTCTTCGCTGCATGGTATCAAATTGGTTTCGATGATTTTTGTCGTTGACTTTTTCTTCAGTTAAATTAATCCCTATAACTGATTATAAGAAGAACGGGTCCAGATCATCCTGCTGCCTAGCTGGCGTACTGTGGTTTGCAGATTTCCCCGCTTAACCGTTCGCCCGACCTTCTCTGTACATAGTGGATCTTATCCAAAGATACTAAACTTGAATTCATATGAGAAAATTCCGGTATGTCACTGTTCCACCCACCAATTTTTATGCTCTTTTGCAAAAACATGCCGCTGTTTCCTCATTCGTGTGGTCAAAAACGGTTTTTTTTCAGGACTTCGGCCGTTGAATTCTGCCGCATCACTAAAATCCATTTTAATGTCTGACGAGAATTTAAAGCGATCCAGTAGACAAAACCGTCGAATGAGCCTGTTTTGGTGTACGTTTTTTTTTCAGCCACTTCCAAACCTTTTTCCCATTTTCGCCTCTTGAAAAGTTTTATTGAAATTCCTCAGTAGTGTGGCTGAGCCTCAAAGTGCCTGTATTTGCTTGGAGCTTCCATAGAATGGGGATAATTTTCTAAATAGTTTTTTTACCTGTGAAGCCGTGCGTTGTCATAATGGAAATTTAAACCCTCGTGTTTAGTTGCAAATTCCGCGCGTTTTGCGGTAATCGCTTGCTTCAATTTGATGACGTTTCCCATTAATGGTTTCGCCCGGTTTTAGAAACACTGCACGCCCTTCTGATCCCACCAAATACAGATCTTTATTTTGGTGTTATGGATATTCGGCTTTGCCGTTCTTTTGGCTGATTGGTCAGGTTTCACAATCCGAAGAAAATAGGAAATTGTGTTTTCTTTAAAAATATTAAAAAAATATTCTTTTAGAATTATAAATATTATGTGTGAAGCTGTCAATATGATTATTTATTATACTTACTTTACAAAACTATCGCAGAAGGCAAACCCTTACCGCAAAATATCTATTAAGGACCACTTGACTAGAAAAAATCAATCAAATCAATAATTAGCATTTACGATAATATATTTTTTTTTGGAAAAGTGCTCAGGTTTTGACTGAACGCATTTGCAAAGTACATCTTTCTAAGGTTCTTAGTAATACGATAAGAAATACAATATTCTATGAGTTTACACGATTACTGTTTTTCTGGTGCCCAAACGAGATTAAAAGAGTAAGAACTATATGTGTAGAATCAGGAAATTATATGTTTTGATTATTGCTTTTTTATATCATGTTAGAAATTTTATTATGGGTCATCACTTTTAGGTAAAAAAATGTTTTACACTTGATAGCAACGACACTGGGCCTTTTAATACGGTTTCAGAGATCTCACATTTCAGCAGTTAGATCTTCCATCTACAAATTGGATAACGAAGTCATAGCGATATCTTTATATCTCTTATATTGTAACAAAAGTATACAAGTATATATACAGACATATTTTAACGCTTTTAATTACCTAGTATCTTTTTTCTCCCAAAACTAAATCTCACCTACACAAGTTGTCTAATATTTGTATAGAAACATCTTGTAATTCACTTAAGCCAAAAATACTCTTATACTTGTACTCACGCAAATTAAACGTGAATAATGACGTGCAACCAACTGTAATAATGTCTATATAATGCACCATTGTCATATTATAACCTTTCAGCGCTCAATCTTTCACTAAGCGCCTTCTGAGCAACGCGTGTGTATATACATATGTACATGTGTATATATCCGATGTAAGGTAATTTTCGCTGTCGCTATGTGCCGATGAAATTGCACGCAATGAAGCACAGCATAATTGACATGTCATTGCAAATGTATCACACTTCCCGAAAGAATAAATCAAAAAGCTGCACTAGACTAGGAAGTGTGAGAAGAAAGCACAAAAAAGTGCTGAAATATAAATAGAACAATGGCAGAGCAAACTTATCGGTTATTTATAGGTTATCACCGAAAAACTTCAAGTTACCAAGTAACCGTTCAGTAATCTGGAAAACTTATATGTAAATTTGTAACCAGAAAACAAATGGAGTAGACAACTACTGGCGTGGGTATATATATTTATTTTATGTAAGTATGTATTATATATATAGAGAGAGTGGAAGAGAGAAGAAAAGTATTGTAGGAAGAAAACGAAATAAAAATATTCGCTCACCTAAAAAAGGTTTGGGGATCTATTCAGTTCCGCACTAAACCTAAGCGACTACTTGCCTCTAAGTATCTCTCAGTGTCTCTCTCTATCTCGCTCCTTCTCTTTGTGTGCGACTGTGTGCTCTGACATTCTTCTGCTAACCGTATCATTTTCATAAACTAACCAAATAATTTCACACATCATTAACATTTTCATTCATTCTCGCAATTGTCTCGACTGAGCACTTGGTTGAGAAAGACAAAAACAATAACAACAAGCATTCTCCTTACACAAGGCTATCCAAAGGGGTTACCGCAAGCTTGGTTAAATTTCGGTGATAGCATTTTGACAATGTCTTTTAACTAGAACAAGTTTGCGTAAGTTGCGAAACTTTGCCGAAATCGAGATGGTTCAACCTCAAGCGTTTTTCCCCAATGCATATATTCACATACACATATGCAGCTGCTGTTGAAATGTTGGTTAGGTGCCTTGTGACTCTGTGGTTGCTTTGCAAGCGCTGCTTGAAGCGGCTGTTTGCCGCAGATGAGCCCACATAATAAATTGCCTCGTGCAGAAACGGCTATCAGACTGTCGATGATCCTTGAAATTTGACTTGTTGGACTAAGAAATGAGTGAATATTATGGTAATGGTCGTTGTTGCGGCGGAAAGTGTGCTCATCAAGTGAGCATTTCTGGTAATGTAGATGATGAAGAGTTTAAATTGGATATTAGAGCGGATTTTAAATGTTTGAAGAGCATTTAGATGAGATTTTCTCGCTTAATCGCTTGTTAATCGCCAAACGTATATTTAGGTAAAAAATTATTCATGGTTTTGAATTGGCACGATTAATAGTCTGATATGGCATCAACCCTGTTCGTCATGTAACAAATTTCTTTAAAAAAAAAAAAACAATACTGAGATAACTTGATGAAATACGAGATATTGGCGTTCGCGTAATGATAACTACACTTTATGAGTTCTATAGTCATTATAAAAACTCCCGGCTATGGGAAGGACCAGCATAACCTCAATATAAAATATTTTAACCTGACTAGACCTGACTCGAGCTTGCAGTGGGTAAAGGAATGTCGAAAACGAAGTCGAAGCGAATATAAAAAGATTCAACTTTTATAATTGGATGAAAAGCCAACCCATAGCGTGGAAAAGCGTACTGGCTTTTTTCCGATCGCTAACCAGCTAAAAGGATCCTAATAGTGTGAATTTAGAGCTGACAAGTAAACAGTAATTTTTAAGCTCGATATTCTTTAAATTTTTGTAGACACATATCAAAGTTTATAAGCACCATTTTCTCAACCAAATTTAAAGACAGTTTGGACGGAAACAAAAGATGAATATCCCCAAAAACCTTATATAATTTAAACAACCCGCACTTATTAAGTAATACCACTAGATGTATTAGTTTTGGAAAGCATATTTTCCAGCTGATAGAAAACATGCTGCAGTGTGTTTTTGTTGAACTAAGATCGCGGCTCCTATTCACTGCAAGTCACCGAAAAATATATACACTCCTCAGCATCGCATTGCTTTTAAGTGGGATTAGTAGGTCGAATTAGATGGAAAGAGTTGACCTTATGAATTGTCGCGAGCTTTCTAAAGTAAAGAACGATTTGGCCACAATTGTGCCCACGATTAAGAATTATTAAAGATTTAGTAAACAATTTAAGTGAAGTTTCACAGTCGCTGAAAAAACTTAGGTTATGCAGGGATTGTTCAGGGCAAGAGCAAGGCGAAAATTGATGCTAAAGGTTAGACACAGAGCGATCAAAAACTATAAGCGGTAAAATATATGAAATGATCTCATACTTCCTCTGCAAGAATCGTGTTAAATGATAAGATTTCTAAGCTTCAGGTTCAAGGCTTCATATGCGGATAATTAAACGCTACACACTTTGGGTTAATGGATTATTTTGAATTGAGAAATCAAGAGCGCGGGCTCGGAAGACCGTGAGAAGAATTCTCAAGATAGTCTTAACTTGATGAATTCGTCGGCAGCTAACACCTGTAGGTGAATAACTTTGAAATTTACCAATCCTTCAGCGCTTTTGTGTTATCTTTCTATATGCAGTATTAAAGACGGTTAAGAGTACAGTGACAACACAGATTTTAAACACTAGCTTATAGTATTGCCAATTTTCTGGCTTACTCTCACCCATCATTACATACTACTGCCAGGAAGATATTTTGTATAGAAAGAGTATTTTCAATCAGTTTTGGTAACTAACATTTTCCAAAGCTAGCATTAGCCCTAAGAACTATGGAGCCATAAGGATGAAATAGTCGCTGGAATTCACTATATAAATAGCAATAAAACTAGCTTAAAATGCAACATTCAGTAATTGGAGATTAATGAGAATTTACTTAACCCTAAATTCGGTACTTAGAGAGCAAGAATAGTCTCCTTACTAGATAACACTGATTTAGTCCCAGCATTCATTATATACAAATAAGAAATGCAATTGTGTAGAGAGCATACTTTGAATTCAATAAATAATTCGTTTTATTGTTATTAAACACTTAATTTAAATTGAACTTAAATATCTTATAATAGGGTTCTAAATTAAGCAGCTGCTGAAAAAAGTCTGAGATACATTACAGTTACTCTTTAGTACCTACAGTTATGGCAGTGTTGCCATATTTGATTTCTATCTTACAAATCCGGCAAACCGCAAATTGCGTATACAACACACCTACCCTCCCACAGTGTGGAGAATCATGCCAAAATACGGGCACACAGTATCTCGCCCCGTTATTGCCATTACAGTCGCTGCAGTTCCATGGCGAAGCGAAACAGCTGTGACGGCGCGGCATTGCGGCAATGACTGACGACAACCACATCGCTTAGCGGATTATCGAGACATAACTGCGTCTGCTGGTGCACCAACAAGCCACCGCGTCGCAACCAACGTTGATTCGGTGTCTGTTTTTGATTCGCGCGCTGATTATGTCCGCGCTCGCCGACTTCCTGATCGACGCATGGCCGCAGCACAACACGAAAATGCGTCGAACGCGTTGAGTTTCTCAGCTTCGTCGCGCGCATTGGCACATCGGCGACTACGTGGAGACACGTACCGGAACTCGCTTGCAATTGAGAATTGTGTCGGTGCAGATACCAGTGAGTAACGTCATTTTGGAAGCAGCTAGTCATACGTAGCTGACTGGTGGCATAATTGGCGATATGCAGGCAAAGCTCGCCGGAGCTTAGTGCGCCAAATGCGATAAAGTCATCATTGGGCAGTCTGAAAGTAGTGGAAAACAAGAAATGTGTTTACAAATCCATACGCACAGCTATAGGCACACACACAGAAATGTACATTGGAGTGAGCTCAGAAAGAAATTTGTAAAGAATTTTTTTTTTTTTTGAAAAAGGGAAACAGTATGCTAGTCATCTGGGAGGGAAATACATGCTGACTGAAAGCGTTTGGCTTACGTACTTGAGTTGCGGGAAAACATTCTGCAAATACCAAGAGAATGGCTGGCAATTGAGAGCGCGCCTCAACTGATGGGTTTGCTCTGTGTCGTTGCTGCTGAGGGGTATTTGCTTGGCCGCCGGTTTGGAGGCGTAGAAGAAATATTTGTAGGCGTCCAACCAGGATTCGGCAATGATTTTTGAATTTCTGTATGAAAAAAAGAGAAATAATTGAAAGAACAAACTTTATTTGGTATATTCTCCCAATATTTTGTACAGAGTATAATAACTTTCTTAATCTAAGGGTTGGTTGTAACATCTAAAACTAATCCAGATCGATATAATGTTATATAGATAAAAATATCAGAATGACGAGAGGATAAATGTTTTATAAATTTTGTACATAAATGTTTTATTAATTTGGTATAAAGCATTATCATTCTTAATTTTACAATGTGAAAATAGGCGAACTCGAACTATAACCATGCCCACTTTCCATTTAACACAATTTTTAATTCCATCCGATTGTTTTAGTTTACTGTATATAAATCAAGCGCGAATGAAGACATCGAAACAACACTTTGCTCAAATGGTGCTTACAAGGTACACTATCTGCTTTAAAAAACGGACTATATATTTCCCAGCCCTCAGGTACTGAATAGCGAAAATATTGGTCTATCTGGGAGATATATTAATTAAGTTCAGAAAGCATGCTTTCCTGATAATAATACGCTCTGGTGTGAGATATCGGTAAAATCCGGTCAGAATTGCAGCAAGCTACAACTCATCCAAAATCTTTATATTTTCGAAATTCCAAATAAAATCTTTATATTAAAATCTTTATATTTTCGAAATTCCAAAAAGTAATTAAAAAACGCTAAACTTAAATTCTATTTTAAAATTTCTCCCAAAAAAAATTGGTAACCTTAAAACTCTTAATTTAAAAACAGATTCACATACACAAGTACTGGCATATGTACCCTCAGGCTATGTGTCTACATTTCCAGCTCAGACACACACACACATCTAAGCATTGCAAGCGTATCTTTAACAACCCGCTGCCATGGCTGCGTCTCCCCAATGTAGGTTATACTCTTGGGGTCACGAGGCTTACCTGAGATATGTTGTCTGGCTATCGCTGCCATTGGGAAAATGAAATGGATGCTGTTTGCGAAAAATATGCCCGACCCGGCTACATGGCACAATCTCGATTTGTCCGCCACAAAGCCACAATTTAATGGAGAATTCAATGGACTCGCCACCCCAAGTCTATAAAGACGAATGAAAATAGTAAAAGATCATATGAAAATGAAATATCTGTGTATGTGTGTATATGTGATATTGTTTGTGTGGCACATTTAGACTCAGTTGTAGTTGTGGTTGTGTAAATTAGTGGAAGAGTTGAAACGATTTAATTTATTTTCATTTTTTCAAAATTCTTTAGTATGTCTTTTTCTAAAAATTTTCCTGTATATATAGCGTGAAATATGGAGCTCCACAAAGGGTTTGGAATATAATATATAACATTTATAAGCCAATATTACATACATATATTAACTATAATTGTTCATATCAAAGTTATAATCGAAATGAATCAAATACTCTTCTACTCTCTATTTTTGAGGCCACGCAAAGCCAGAAAAAATCTATCCAGTTGCGTATTTCACAAGAGAGTATGTAGATGCCTGATTTACCATCTCACGCTGGTTATGCCAATCTATGTAATATTATGCCAGTTGCTTGTTCGATTCGCTATATTTCAAGGCTTAATAAAACAAAAGCAGCCCAATCTCAACTGGCCAATTAATCTTATCACTACTGGATCTAGTATAAATACAGAAAAAGTTATCAGTCTTGACAACTACTAAGCAACAAAAGAGCAACAACCAAAGGGTACTTGTTTCAGTTGTGTATTTGGTAGTTAAGCAATTATAAATATTAATTTTTTTAGAGTATTATTTGAGATTATTTTGTTTACGAACATATAATTTATAAGAGAATTTGTTTCAAGCTCGACTTTTTCTTTTTGAAATTGAATCTCTGGACTTCATTACAATTTTTTATATTCATAAAGTATTCATTGCTGATGAGTTTTTTGAAGACCTTGGACTTTATACCGTATATATTCGGAGATATCTTAATAAAACTCAGAGACTCAACAAATTGCGAGAGTATAAATATACTCTCGAATTTAGCAACTCGTAACTTTAAATTATAAAAACTGAAAACATTTTACTTATGTCTTAAAAATTGGTGACACTCGGTGAGACGCAGATAGAGAATCTGATAAATTGTATGACCGAAATATTTTCTCTTCGGGAAATGAAACCAGATTTGAACAATAATTGGAAACCAGAACTGTCTTTAGATGGTTTTGGAGGATCGTTTTAGGTTCCTCAAACCTTTTAAAGAACGGATTTAATTTAAAAAAATTTAATGATGTGAAGAACTATTATATAGAATGCCATATCTCTAAGGGCAATATTTAGCTACAAAATTGACCACCTACTATACTCACTGTCAAATTTCCTTACCTGCAGTAGTGGGTTGAAGCCATTTAATTTATTAAACCATTCCCGAGAGATCATAAATATTCCACCAGCAAAAGTAGGGCTTCTGGAATGATTTGAATCATTAGTAATACTAAGAAGAAAAAATTCAATTGTAATTAAATAAATATTATCTTCATTATTAAAATATGGTTAGCCAATATTAGTCTGGTAGGCAAATAAGATAAGCATAGATCAGTTTTTGTCCTTAGCGATACTAGCTGCAGTAACGTCCAAAAGAAGTAATCATCCTTCAGAGTGGCAGCGCTTGATGCGAGTTTCAAAAGTTTCTCTAGCCTCACCAATGATAGGTCTTTCATACGGTGCGGTCCGCAAATGCATAAATTGTTCCCTTGCCAATGCAGAATATGCACACAAAAGATGCCCCATTGTTTTCCTAGTGCCTTGCTCCGACATTTTCTGCACTCTACTCGAACTCTCAGCTTCACTCTGAAGCCGTGTGTTGCCAATAGACAGTGAGCATTCCATTCCAACCATGTTTCTACAGTCTCTTCTATCGTGTGCCTATAGGAACTTTGTGTATTTCTGATATATCGCTTTACACATGGCTGTTACTGGTAGAGATAATATTGCTTACAAATTAATAATAAAGAACTCATATAGTAGCTTCTTTTAGGGATATGATATAAAGGATTGATTAAACTTTATGTGTTGACTTTCTCCTGCCATTGATTCTACAGCATAAGCAAATAATGCCTTCAATAAATAATTCTTCATATTTTTATATAATAGTCTTCAATACTTGTCATAAGGTTTGGCAGTTAAAAAGCGGTACTGAAAGAATTTTCAAACTTTCTTTTGGACTACAATTAATGGCTAAATAATAAGGTCAAAATACATATCAAAGCCGTTGCTACTCAGCTGTTATGCTTTTTCATATGTGATTAGTTCAGAGTATGCAAAAAGTAGCCTGCAGAAGGACTAGGGCTAAGATGTTTTACTGTTTCAATTTTTAAAGAACACAATCATTTGCGACTAACACTCGGTAAAAGAAGAACAAAGTCGGCCTTTTTCTAGGCACAGTATTGCAATGCACAAAGAATACTCTTTAGAAGTGAGACGAAATTGAATTCTCAAGAAATAATAAATACATAACATTCATGACTTTTCCAACGAAATGTGATACAAGCAGATTCAATGACAGTATTTCACGTTAAAGTACAATAAATAAACAAAACAAAACCAAATGTAAAGTGGTGTGGGTGAATTACTTGAATGCCGTTGCGGCGGTATTTGTGTTGTGTTGCGAGCGCGCCTCGTTAAATCTTCTGCGCGCCCAACTGAATGCGGCATGCCCGTTTAAAGATTCTGCGAATGCTTGCTGCTGTTGTTGCTGCTGCTTGTATTTGTCGCCACGCTGTGACTGTGATTGCGTTGATTGCGGTCGCGGTATCCAATGAAAGTGTAAATTCCAATCGAAACCACCCATGAGATACTTCGAACTCGCCGTATACTCCAATGATTCCGCATTAATGCTATCCAACACAGGGCTGACGGCTGCCGCGCCTATAGCCAAACGCTCCAGCAATGGCTCTAGCCAGCCTACATTAACCTCACAATGACTGTCGAGGAAGAGTAAATAATCGCCGGTGGCAAGACGAGCGCCACGATTACGTGATACAATCACGCCCAATCGTTGCGTATTACGCGCACTCTTAATTGTAACTTGCGGCTGTGAAGTGGGCGCGCTGTCGCTCGAATTTGCCGAAGGATGTAAGCTAGCATAGTTTGCGGTCGTCATTGGCGGTGACGAAGATGAAAAATTACGCATAAATGGCGGTAGCTGAAGGTTAAGCATAGCCGGCAGCAGATCAACTAAGCCGGCAGCGCGCAGACATAGCAAAAGGGAATAAAGAAAAAAAAGAAGAAGAAATAAAAAGCAGTGAAAAAATTCCATTAAGTATTGTCTATTTTTGCATTAGATATGTCAAGTAAGCATGCAAATGTGTGCGCGTGATTTCAATCAAAAATGGAGCAACGCCGCATGTGCGTTCATTTGCATGTACAGCCATGGTGTATACGCACCATCCGCGCTGCAGTCATCGATCAGTATCAGCTCGTGCAGATAGCGCTGCGGAGTGCGGTGATACAATGTCATTACGGTACGCAAGAGCGCTGAACGTGCCTCATTGTGAAACGCGATGATGATGGAAACGCGCGCACGTTGCGTCGGCAGATGGAAGGGACGCGCTGTGCAGCTGTAATGAAGCGGAAGCGTTGCATCCACAAATGACGGTTGCTTAGTAGAATTTTTTTTTAGTACATTTGTAGAAAAATTTGCAAATGTAAATTTGCAAAGTGTATACGCACCTAGCGTCCCGTGTATCGGGTAACGCGCGCAAGGCGCCAATCGCAACGCTACGTGCCGCATTGTAATGATAAAATTCCCACGGCGCCGTTAGCGTTTCTGTCGGCGCCGCAGCCAGGAATTCACGCACCGCTATTACGTAGTCGCTAAGCGCGCTCTCCGCGGCAACAGGCAGCACCTGCAGGTGAGAGAAGCACACGTTTAATGCATCAAAAATAGCTAGAGCGCTGATGTGGGGAATTAAATCATAAGTCACAAGAAGATTATAGAATTTTTGCATTGTTGTTGTAAAATTTTATGTCATAACATTTTTAAATATTTAAAAAAAATTTTTGTTTTATCGATCCAATAGTGTATTTTTTATTATTGATTTTTATTTACAATTTTTTAAATAATACTACAACAGTTTTTTTTTTTAATTTTTTGATTAATGTTTCAAAATTTTATTCAAATTTAATTTGTATTTTTTTTCCAAATTTTTCAAAATTTGTTCTTATTTAATATTCACTTGCGCCTGTTCGTAGCGTTCAGCTTGCAGGTCTGCATACTCATGCTCGACGAATTGCACGTAGCTGAAGATGCAAGTGAACAGCAGCAGCGCTAAGGGCAGCAGCAGTAGGCGCCAATGCCAGCATCGTTTCTGCAACTTCATCACGCACACATTTTCGGCCACCAACCACAAATAATACTTCGCGCGCGCACTCAGATCTGATTATTATTATTAATATTTGCTATGAAAAAGCAAACGCTCGTCAGCCGCTCAACGCTGCGTCGATCACTTGCCAATATTATCGCAACTCAACAACTGACTTCAATTCGCCTTCGAGTAGACGCCCCATAGCGCTTACGCTGCGGCGCGCTGCGCTCATAAATTATCTAGTTCGATTTACAGTTCTTTATTTTCCACTTATTTATTTAATGTTAAACTAAAATTAGTTTTTTTTTTTTGTAATCTTTGTCAACTGTTTTGTTTGCCATTGTATTTTCGTGTTTTTTTATTTGCATTTAATTTTTTTTTTTTCAAATAATTTCCATTTGCACAACACTCCGCTACGCTGTTCGCTACTTACGCTCCGCTATTTGCCAAACCGGTATTGTGTGTGTAAACAAGTTGATATGTTTGGAAATTATCACCCGTCTGTGCACCCGTCACAATGCAGTTCACCGTTTGCCGGCGCCAGTTTTTCATTTGTCGTTAGTCACGCGTTTGACCAAAGGCAACTGACGCAATGACAGCGCTTAGCAGATAGGTTGTGCGCTTGGCGTTAACAGTGAGCGCTTTGACAACGGCGATAAGATATTGGCAGCGCCACGACATGCGTGTGTGTTAGTATAATATATACGCGCATATCTATATAAACATATGTTTATAAGATAAATGACAATTTGACAACATTGCAAACATTATCGAATAGTTGTATTAGCCAAGCGCTAAATAAACCGACTGTGACAACTTAAACTAGGCAGAGTTGCCAACACGAAAACAAACACTTTAAGTAAAGCGTTAATACTTTCAAGCCATACAAATTACAAAGAATTAAAATACAACTAAAAAACTTTCGAAATTCTTGTTATTTGACATATTTACAGTCGAATATTTATATAAATATTTTTTTTATTATTTCTCGAAAATTATACATACCTCCAGGTTTTGAGTATGCATATCTTAAGTTCGGAAAGAAAAGATAAATATATTTAGACTTTTTCAATCAGAAATATGCAGAATATTGTACACTATGTCCAATAATGTTATTTTCCATCCCTCTTTTCGACTTTTTTTAAATTCATAACCAAATTTTTTCTTAGAAACAGTTTCCATTTCGCAACTCTAAGCTAGGCTACGTTTTTCTCGCCCAGATTTTTCAAAGAAAGAACAATCCTCCAATTTAATATCTCATCCTTCAAGTATCAATAATGTCAACTCATTCCCAACAAATAATAAAGTAATTTATCCGCATTACCATTTATATTTTCATAAACCTCTCATACTTACTCATACGTAATACTAAACAATCCTAAGTCAGGTAATATTTATATCCTGTAATACCACTTAAGACGCCGTTTTAAATATTTAATAACAAGAAGATACATAAATTACCTTTCGTTTGTGACAAAAGTTACCAAACCCATGGTGGATCAGTTCCGCGTTCTTCCCTTAGATTTAATTTTTAGAATTGACTTCTTTATTTCAATTTCATTTCTGAACTGTAGTCCATAAGATTAAGAAATATAATTTTCAATATAGATCGCGTGCCCCCAATTTCATCTTCGAAAGCCAACAAGAACCTTAGAGAATCCCATTAACCTTGCTTCTTTACATGGCCGCACTATTTCTCTCCAATATTGGTAGCATTGTCAAAGGCCGAACTTTTTGTTCGAGCTTAAATATCATATAATGAAGGTAAATCAATATTATGTTTGCCTAAGAAAATTAAATTCCCCTTCTGCATTACAGCATTATCGGCTAAGGATGTTAACATAGTTTTTTTATACAAACACATTATTCTTAATTCCAGAGATATTAATTTCAAGCCTTTTTATGGCTTCGTTAATATTTATATTTTGAACTTTAATATACTTCTCAATATATATCTTAATGTACATCGGTCTCTATCTCTATTTCCACATCAATTTCTATCTCTTTCCATTCATTTATAATATATATATATATATAATAAAATATAATATAAAAAATGTATACAGAAACGAACAGCATGATGAGCTGAGTTGAGATAGCTATGTCTGTCTGTCTGTCTGTATATACGCGAACTAGTCCCTCAGTTTTTAAACTAGCGATCTGAAATTTTGCACCTGTCCTTTTCTCACTAAGAAGCCGCTCATTTGTTGAAGTGCCCGATATCGGAGCATTATAGCATATAGCTGCCATACAAACGGAACAATCGTAATCAAGTGCTTGTATGGAAAAATCCTATATTTGACAAGGTATGTTGACAAAATTAGGCCCGAGTTATTGTTTAAGGCAACCATGTATTTTTTGAAGAAATTGTTCAGATAAGATCACTATATCATATAGCTGTCATATAAATTGAACGATCGGAATAAAGTGCTTGCTTGGAAAACTTTTTCATTTGACGAGACATCTTCACGAAATTAGGCTTGAGTTATAGCTGCTTTACAAATTGAACGTTGTATATGTGCAATTAGGTTACGTGATATGTTTTTTGAAAGATAAGATATCATGGTAAACAACTTAATGAATTGTTTAATGATTGTTTGACTTAGTATTGTTTGAGTGTGCCTCAAAAATGGACTTCAGCAAAGAGAAAACACGCAATATTTTACAGTTTTTCTTCGACAAAGTCGATAGCTTAGCTAAAAATATAAATACTTTATGGTGCCACCTTCACCTTTATGGTGGAATGCAAATAGTCGTTAATATCGATAACATAATATAAATCGTCGGATCCAAACATCATGTAAGCACTGTTTCGATTATCCAGGAAATTTATACAATACAAGTACAAGTATTTGTGTTTGGGCGGACCTCATAGTCCGGACCTGGTACTAGTGATTATTACAATACCTGTTCCTGTCCATGGCAAATTATTTTGCTGGTGAAAAATGTGTCTCAATAGACGCTTGTGAAAATCGGCTGCCCCAGGTATTTTGCCATAAAGGCGAGTGAATCGTGCTAACTATACTAAATGAAACCTTTAATTTGACGCAAAAATCAAGAACTTCTAGACATTTATATTCAAGTCAGTTATATCGCTTTTATTTATACTTTCATCAAATGCTGCTCGGCGCTTCCTCTTTTATTATGATCTCAACTTATTCAACATGAATTGGTGCAGGTGTTGCACGCAAACGCCAAACGACAATAAAATAAAAGTCAAAGCTGAGCAATAGGCAACTTTCGCCGTTGTGACTCCTGCCATTCATCAACTCACTCATACCCAGAGCCACCAGCAAACAGTTAGTCAGCTCGGTAAGAGCTTTTGTTAATAATTGCATGCCGTTTGTTGTTATTTGCACACTATCGGCTTAACAACTAAAGAGTTGCGTGTCAAACATCCGTTTTCCGGTTCGCTTCAATCACTCAAGCATTCTAGTAGCCACTCTGCCACCGGCCAACCGCTTGGCTGGTGTTCATCTCTTCGCCTGTATCAGTCTGTCAACTAATTTACCGCTTGGCGCCTGCATTCGCCACTACTTTATTACATGCCATAAGAAATGTGATTTTTCAGTCTGTTGCATATTTCCGTTTCCGTTGCACCTCCGGCTGTGCCACAAATACTTGTTGCCGGGTACGCATTATTCCGCAAGCTCACTCATTCGCTCAGCTACACGCTTTCACCAGCGCGGAAACTGGCTGCTGTGGCCATTGTTGTCGGCAATGTCATTGTTTTAGTTGCTGAGCACCTTTGTTTATAGTTTTTGTTTTCCTCTACTCTTTTTCCATTGTTGCATCGCTTTTATTATATCGTTGTTGTTGTTGTAACTTATTGCCGCTGCACTCGGTTTTATGTTCATTGTAGTCAATTTAATGACACTGAAATATTTTCTTTTCATTCGCTTTTGTTCACTCCACTACCGTTATGCTCATTGGCTATGTCTCTCCCTCCGTGTTTTGATTTCCTTTGCTATCTTACCATAAAATGGTATAATTATCTGATTACCAGTCTTAAAGGCAAACACAAAAAGTTACAGAAACATTTTCGCTACAATATCGAAATTAAGACAGCAGATGAGAAATAAAAACTTGGGAGTCTATGCAGTAGAGGCGTTAAGCAACTTGCGGGAGATATTGGAGAATGTTTCAGAGTGCTTGGGTTTTACCTCTCGTGGAGTTAGTGCATAAGAGTTTGCAGCATTTATTTTCCACAATATTTGATTGATTGAACCTTGTACTAAAAGTAAGTGCACAACCTCGTATCGCTTCTTCCAGAAAGAAGTTATCCCATAAAATGAAGGATACAAAAAGGTCTGGTCCGTTCTAAAACGATGCTTCAAGTAAAAGCTTTACATAACATCTAAACTCACTTAAGTATATTTTTTGGTCAGAAGTTTATGTAATGTATCCCAACTGTAGACCTCACCATGAGCCGATGGAGCGAACATATGAATCTGCGCGGTACCTTTTTGGTAATAAGGAAGTGTTGCATAAATCTGAATTTAGGTGGATGTAAAAGAGATTCGTCGGATCTTCCAGTTTTATCAATCTATCTCTCATTTGGTGGGATTTTTCAGCAGTTCGATATTTGGAAGAGACAAACTCGCAGGGATTTGGAAAGAGCTTCGAATTTTGGTTTATAAAAAGAGCTACTGAATATTCTGCCAAAAGAATTAAACTATAATATATTTTTAAATAAAATTAATTTTAATTAATAAAGTAAAAATTAAATGAGCGACGTACAAATTTTTACACACAAAGTTACCACTTTTGCTTTCAGACAAGCTCTCAAACGATTCGATCGTTGATCAATAGCAGCAAGTACAGTTTCTATTGGTATTTAAGATGCTGCTTGAACCAAAGATTTTTTAAGAGTTTCCAAATTTCGGTGGTGTATTCGACAGGCCATGTTCTCCAACTCTGACCACAAACTGTAGTCCAGTGGATTCAAATCTAGACTTCCAGTCGGCCAATCATCCGTAGCTATAAAATGAGAAATATAGCTTTTAAGCCACTGCTGGGTGATTTTTTCCTTATGTGCTGGAGCAGAATAATAATAACGCAACGATTACTCTCCTCCCGGCTAACCGAAGCGAGGGGCGCAATCCGCATACGTGCGAAATCAGCCGAGTCCTAAAAGGTAAGAGAGTTTTTTAAGTGTTGAGATCTAAAACTGCTCAGCTACAGAAACAAAAATTTTTATTTTTTAAGGAAAGCAATTTTTTAATTTCGAAAAGTGAGTCGAATGTGCTGGAATGAGAATTAAAATCATGACATATACGGCGGAATGGTTCGTTTACTTCGAAATTTGATCTACAGGATTTTAACAGTAAAGGTAAAAGATTTAATGGTAAATAATTTCTACAAAATCTTACCAGAAGATCCAATGCTCTCCATCGATCAAGATATTGCTTAACAGCTTTATTAACACATCCAACTGGTACACTTTTGCCCCAATTTTAACCCCTTTTTCACAGAAGTGAAGAGGTGTAACGCCATTACAGCAGATGTATTGTAACAACGTTGAACTCTTGGAATAATATTTTTTGCGTAGATTTTGTCGATTTGCTTATTGAAAACTTTTTCAGCAGTGGAAAAACCGCATCTAGATTTGAGTTGACTATAAAATGTAGTTTATCGGAATAGTTTACACTCCAAGGGTGTCAAAGGTTTCTTCTGCAGATGTAGTTTAT